CACCCCGCACCCCACCCCACCCCGTCCGCGCACCCCTGCGCACCCACCCACTGACACAGTCGCACACACACACACACACACACACACACACACACGAGGCACGGCCGTGCATGCCTCATATTCGAGGCGGGCAGAGGCTGGACGCGCGCCAGAGACATGCATGCTATGTGCAAGCATGCGGATCTTCCTTCCACCCCGCACCCCACCCCACCCCGTCCGCGCACCCCTGCGCACCCACCCACTGACACAGTCGCACACACACACACACACACACACACACACACACATGCAAGAAGGCCTTCTCCTCATTTGGCAGACGTCTCGGGCGGCTTGTCCCCCGCGAAATCGCGAAGTGGGCAGATGGCGGAATGAAAGTCGCAGTTTTGGTACGTGAGGCTAAACCGTTTCTTGCCTTGTTTTTCCCTTCCCCTAGGCGGCGGACCTCCGTTTCGCAGCCAAGCTGTCGGAGAAGGTGTCGCTCTTCAACCAGCAGGCGGACCGGCACATCAAGAAGCAGGAGCTCAACCCCTTCAGCGCAGCCAACAGCCGGTCCGGCAGCCGGTCGCCGCGGCCGACCTTCAGCAAGGACGAGTACGGCAAGTAAGTACGCTCTGCGGCTAGGGCTGTCTCTCGTGGGGTTCCTGCGCAGCCCTCGGGCGCCGCGCACCCCAGGCACCGTCAATGGGCCATTAATTAAGCACCAAGGACGTCAAGGGCGGCGGGGCCCTGGCGGGGCCCTGGTGGGGCCGTGGCGGGGCCCGGGCGGCGTGCCGTGCCAGGGACGGGACGGGACGAGCGTGGCGCCGCGGGACGAGGGGTGTCACTCTGACGGATGTTTGGCCGAGGGTCCCAGGGATGCAGACGGGACGGGGCGGCGGCGGTCAGGGACGTCGTACTGGCTGGGAATGCCGAGGGGGCTGTGGGAGCCGCGTGGGGTACACGCCTCGCCGCGCCCCGGCCGCCCCGCCCCGCCCGAGTGACTCACCGCGCCGCCGGGCCGGGGCCGGGGTCGGCCTCAATGGGAACCGCGATGGGGATCCTTCATGGCGTGCTGTGTGTTGTGTTGCAGGCCTCCTCCTGGCTCCGAGTCGGAGTACAGGGCCATCAAGGGGAGGATCTCCATGAACAAGGACATCCTCGAGCTGTGCGAGATCCTCAACCAGGAGGGCGAGCTGCAGATCGTGGATGGGACGCCGGTCAAAGTCATGTGCTTCCGGGACGTGTTTCAGGTGAGAGTGGGTTCGCCGCCGTATCCCCTGGTTCCGGCTGAATCGCAGCCCAGCCGGCAACTTAACGTGGTTTGTCCCCTGTTGCAGATGTACACTGTGATCAACGACAAGGTGGTGGGGCTGTTGCTGCGGGCGAGGAAGCAGGGACTGGTTGACTTCGAAGGCGAGACTCTATTCCAGGTCAGTAAAGAAGGGGCTAGGGGAGGGGTGACGTCAGCTCGCCACGTCACGGGGGGGAGAGAGGGGAGGGGGTTCCTCCGTCCACATCGAGTGAGTCAGCGCAGCGGGCTTACAACAACAACGCCCACGAAACACGTCGTCCTTAAATAGAAGACAAAAAATTGCATCGCGAGCCCTTTTCCGCTGAGCTAGAAATAACATTGCCGAGCGCTCCCTTTTCAACACCTCAGCCGGCTGGCTGGGGCGGGCCATTGAGGGCACTTCGTAGGTACTTCCCCACAAGCCATGAGAGAGACCATTATTGACATTCCTCCCTTATTCTGGTTGTTGCAGAGAAGGGACGACCACGTCTTGATTGGACTCATAAAGCCAATCGAGGAGATCAGAGAAATATTCCGGAAGCGATTCGAGGACTTTAAAGAGGAAGAGAGGCGGAACAAGGAGGCGGCAGCATCACATGTGCTCCAGGTGCCGAACTACTGAGAGGGGAGTATCAAGATCTGGGGCCCAGTCAGCTTCAGAATTCTTTTTACGGAAATGTGTACATAAGTCATACCATCGCACTTGTTAATTGCGTAAAAGGCAATTAAAGCAAGGGCAACATTTTTTTTAAAGAAAGGGGGGAGGGGACACCTTTTTACAGTAGGCATATTTTTGCCTGAGAAGTAGATGATCTCTTTTGTTTATGTAGAGAATTTATCAGGAATTTTGAATGAAAGAGTTTGT